TCACCATATACTTCTGTCAACAAATTGTAAGTTTCAGTGGCAGATTTTCCAAGTTTTGTGAGGAATTTGATGTTAGCACGTTGTTCTGCATTAGCACTCAGCATTATTCCGACGGAGCTCAGAAACACGATCCGCTTCTAACAATGGTCGCGGCCAGACTAACCGATGCACGTGAATGAAACTTTGTGTGACGGTAGAGGGAAGTCCAAGGGTCAATGCCCTACCCTCCTCTTCGTCAATGACGTGGCCGGAAATGAGTCATAAAAGTAATCCGGGTTCTTTATTGCCACACCTTGTACTTAGTGGGTACTCGGAGACAAAGAGTATCCATAACACAATATCAGTCAATTTTCTTCTTGAAAATATTAATAGCAAATAAAGTCAAGATTTTGTCCCCTGGAGTAAAGCTTTTTAAAATGTAAATGATTCAACATTGATTCATAATCACAGAAGGAGCTGGCCAGAATAAATCAACTGTAGTGTAAATATCCAAACTTCATATGTTTACCACTTTATTAGAATCTGCTAATATAGGTTATTCCAGAGGACAGACACATATTGAAGCTTCGAATGAATCATCATCATCATCATCATCAATCATGGGGTTAGTGTAATTTAATTGTGCATTATTATGCAATTGTCATTACCTATACATGAGTAGCCAGCATTCTACATGTTATATATATGTGAATAAAATGAAAAATATTATATATATTACTTTCCTGCAGTTAGTTCAGTAGTGCTTAAGACCTGTAGGTCTACAGGTAAGACTGCAACTTCATTTTTCCCCCTCTTTAGTTTCATTTGATTCTTTGTGAAATCAGTTCCCAAAGAAATTATTTATGAGGCTCAGGTCTCCTGTGGATATCATCACTTCTTGCACAAAATTTGGGATATAATTTGGCCTTTTATATTATAATGTGATTGACAGTAATTAATTTTTGTGTTGTACTTAATATTTTGCTTATTAGTATAGCATCAACATACTTAGTCCATATATTGAAAATTCTCTTTTCTCTCTCTGCTCATTTTTTTTTTTGTTTCATTTATTTATTTTTGGCTATAAGAGAAGGCTAATTGGGTTACATTTTCATAAATATTTACATATGAAATATACCTCATGCCATCAGGTTTGAAGTTTTATGTATATACAGTAAAACTTGGTTATAGCAACATCGGTTTCTGCGACACCTTGTCTATTGCGTCAAATATTCAATGGTACGAACTAATTCCTCATAAAGCAACTGTTTTTATACCTTGCTTAGTATGACATGCACAAATGCATCAACCTCGTATGTAACGTCATTTTCATTTCTGAATTTCTCTGATATGGACATGGAACGTAATTTAGAAAGTGTGTATTGGGCAAGTAACAGGAAACAGATGAAGATAACTGATTACTGTACTCGTATCTAGGTAC